TTAGCAGGAAACCCTAACATCCAAACGCGACAGAGAAGAAGATGATCAAACCCTAGAGATCGATCAAGCGAAAGGAAGAGAACCAAAAAAAGAAACCCTAAAATCGACGCACGAAGGACGAAGCTTTTTTTTACTCCACCGGAAAATTCCCAAATCCAATTTTTTCTTCTTTTTTTGAAAGCAGATGCGCTCGAGTTTTTATATATTTATTTATGAAAAAAGAAAGATTCTGAGCGAGAAAGAAGTTTATAATCTATTAGTATCCGTAATACACGGCCTAGCCACGTAGGATTGATGAATCTTTGATTCGGGATACCCACGTGTCCTATCACGTTTTTGTCGGCAAAGGGGCCCAGGCCCATTACTGTCATGACACTATTCAGAAATTACTTCAGCATGTATGAATGATATTGACCCACTCCAAAACAAAAGGATAAGTTGGATTCGTTTTATATCAATGTCTTCTTTTCAAAATGTTCTTATACAATTAAAGATTTATACTAGTGTTGTGTTGTGACTTGTGACATACATATTGATTGCTTACAAAAATAATTATTAATTTCCATATGCTGTCCTGTTTTCGTAATGTTCTTATATGAATAATTTTTTTTAATGTTTGTAGTGTTATGACGTATATATTAATTGCTTTAATACACTACAAAAATAAAATTTTGTTTTAGACTCGTGTCACATATCGTTTGGTACGTAATTATGTGTATTCTAATTGCAGCAGGTGTCAACGGTTCCTACAACAAAATTTGAACATTGCTAAGAAATTATCACATACTTAATTTTAGGCGGGTATAATTTAGAGACGCGTATTAAGTAACACATATGATATAATGAATATTAACGTGATCTAAACTAAATAAAATGAACTAGTTAATTATCAGCACATGTGAATATATAATCATGACTTGACTTCATGTGTGATTTTTTTAAAAAATGAACTATTACTAAAAAGTCATGTTACATTAACTCTCTTATAATCTCATCATTATTATATCTAATGAAAAATCATATCTATAATAACAAATATACGCTTAAAAATTTGGTTTTGGTAAATTACCCCACACCTTCCAACTTAGTCACGCAAAATATGTCAATAGATATAAGTTTAGGAATCTTCTATTATTTATAAGGAAATATGTCAATAATAATTAAATGTATCTGCAATATATTAAAAAAAATCACAGATCCGTAATATGGAATATTTCTATACCCTAACAAAATTTACACGCTCTATATACTAGATAAAATTATTTCAATGTAAATTTTTAAAATTATATTGTTTTAAAAAGAGAAATTTTTTAAAAATTCCATTTTGATAAAATTCTTTATAATATTAATTTATGAAGCTATAAGTTTAGTTTTTAGAAAAAAATTCTTCGAAGTTTATATTATCTTTCCAAATTAAAGTATACTAATATTTAATCAAGCTCTATTTATATTAGTTTATCTAAAAATGAAATACTAATCTAACAAACAATAAAATATAGAAGAAGAAACAAACACATGTTTGAAAAACATGTATAATATAGAAAAGTTGAAACAATCTATTTGATTAAAACATGTATTATATAATATTATTATGTTTGAAAAACATTTACTATACATATCGTAAATATGTGATTACTATAATATATACCAATTTACAAGTGAAAACAAAATATTTATATAACTAACTATAAACGAAAACAAACACCCGCGCGGTTGCGCGGGTTAAAATCTAGTTTTATTTAAAACCAATCAATTTGAACACATGAAAAAGTTGACACAATAGATATGTTTATTATAAGGGGAAGATTATGTGAGGTTATTCCCAAAACACCAAATGTAAAGTAATTTCATCTATAATCAGAAGTGGCTTATGGTATCACTGCCCCCAACTAAATTTTAGATTTCTTGAAGTAATTAATACAAAAGTTTAATTTATTCAGTGTAATTAGTTTAAATTTAATGAAAATATAACTCTTTCTAAATTTATTATAGTCAAATGTTCCTAGATCCGCCTTTGTCCGTAATAAAACACCAAAAGTGATATTTTTCATTACATTTAGTATAACGTGAATAATATACACTAAATTTGTGTAGAGCGAAACACAAGACTTCACCAGCAAGTATTCAAATTACTTGATGCTATCTCCGCCTCCGTTGATAAACAAATCCAAACCCGTCTCCAAAGCTTTCGCCATGCAAACTCCAGAGCTTCCTCTTCTATGAAGCAACTGTGGCTTCTCCGATCATAGTTTTTGCGGAGAAAACAAAGACGACAAATCTCACCAATTCCCCGTGACAAAAGAAAACCGTCTCATATTTCCTTACTGGACCAGTTATTCTAACTTGGACTACTAGTTCTACTAATATGTGTGTCCACTAAAAAAAACACTAGGTATATCCCAAAACCAAACTTAAGATTAAAGGCTTGTATTTTTTTTATTTCCTTTGTTTAAAGTTTAAGGAAAGCCAATTTACAAAAAAAAAAAATTGTGTAATTCTTAATATGCATACTAAATTATAGTTTTAATTTATATTTATACCATAATTTATATTTTATTTATAATTTCACTTTACTAAAAGTTTAAAATATTATTTTATTAATATTTTAATTAAATATAATTAAATGAATATTATTACTACATTAAATTGTGATAGAATAAAAATACTGTTCATTTTTAAATTTATAAATTTTAAGTTTAACTAATATTTTAAATAAATATATAAATTAATTAAAAGAAATAGAATATATAAATAAATATATAAATTTTAAATTTTAATAAATAAATAGGATTAATCCGTTACAAATAGTTAATGTGATAAATTACCAAAATTTATAATATAAATATTTTTTTAGTGTAGAATCTGGTGTGATATATATTTAATACTAAAACATTAAATTTAATATAATTTCAACATCAAATTTAACACCATAGTTAGAAATACCTTTAGTTATTTGTTTGTTCATAGTAGTAAATACATTCCTTCTATTTTTAATACTTATGTTTAAGATTTTTTTGTTCAAATGATTTTTTCTATCCTCAATAAAAAATTAGTAGTTTCTTTTTTTTATGCTCAACATCAATTTATATTCACCAAGAAGAGTTTACATGAATTTAACCTCAAAGAGATTTAACGATACTTACAATACAAAGAGAGCTAGTATAACCTAAGAACACTAATGATGATCTTATGCTATCTGTTCGGTTCTTTGATGTAATTCCACCCAAAGAGATCGAACTCTTCCCACAACTCAGGAAGAACCGACCATTCAACCCCTAAATCGATCACATTGAGACAGAGATAACCAGGACTGACAAAATCTACCCGAGATTACTACTAAAAAACCCCAGCATTGGTCACCAAAAGATTAGAATTACAACGCTCGAACCAAACACATCAACACCAAACAGTGCATATCCAGAAATTTAGTAGTTTCTTTTGTTATATGATTTTTTAATATTTTGTAGATTATTGAGTTATTTATTAAATTTTGACTAATAAATAATTAATGCAATGTTTATTTATATAATATTTAAGATTACATGCGTCTCTCTTAAACATTAATAAAATTGAATTTGTAATGAAGAAAAAACGACAAGAAAGACATTGAAGTGAAAGTTATCTTCACTTTCAAATCATTTGTTTTTAGCTTCATCATCACACTTTCCACCTTATCGCTATGTTATTTTAATAATATTATTTAAAGAAAAAATTCATTTTTTGACTATTTTATTTATTTTTCTACACCACTCCATTTTATTATATAAATAGAAAATTTATATCTCCTTATAATGATCAATTAGAATAGACTTCATCACTATATTTCTTTTGTATAATAACAAAATAGGAAGAATATAAATAATCTTATAAATGTCATCATTACCATGACACAGTGTCTAAAATTGTATGTGCAGTGTCCACACGACAACTCCCTAAAAAAATCATGCATCATATCCCACTGTTTTTTTTTTGTCAACATATCCCACTGTTCAATAATATTAATTGTTAATTTTTAGAAGAATGCGAGAAAGAAGAAACGTTTTTCTTTTGTAATTTAAACAAATGGTCTGTATATACCAATTAGATTAAATATTTACTCCCAGTTCAGTTATTATTCTACTTTTTCATCCAATCAAGTGGAATAAAACTTTCACCAATTTATTTTTAAAACGAAGGCATGTAGAGTAAAGTATTTACTTCAAGCAAGTAAGAAATTTTACTCCAATTTTTAAAAAAATTATTTCCTCTGTTTTCCATTATTATTTTTTTACCATTTTACTCTACTATTATTCAGTTACACTCAAAGAAATACTGTTTCCCATAAACATGTTCTATATGGTTAATTTTTAAGAAGAAAAATAAACGTTTTTCTTTTTTAATTTAAACAAAGAAATAATACTAGTTAAATACCGTTTTGCATAAGCATGTTCTATATGATTTTTTATTTATAGTTCTTATGTTCAAATATTCAAATATGACTTTTATATGTGTATATACCCATATAACAAAAAAAAATATAAATTTATTTTAAAAATATAGTTGCAACAAGCAAGAAGGAAAAAACAAGAAAACCTAAATTCCATACTTGGAGATATTTTAAAATATCTTCAATACATTTTTACAAAAAAAAAAGAAGAAGAATATATCAATACTAGTTTTACTAACAAAAGCAGAAGTATTATTCATACTATTACTAGTATATACTTTTTACTTTAGTATAACTACGTACTTTGTATTACAAATATGTAATATGTCCCATAAAATACAGTACTATTTATCACAAAGATTTTCCAAATCTAGTACCTATGCAGTGTACCACGAAGATCTCGAGACTATTGTAAAAATAATCGAACGGTGGAAAAACTAATCAACTGACAAAACGATATCATGAGGAAGAAAGACTAGACACTTCGCCGTTGTTGATATCAAATCTGTTTTGAAAAATAATATATAAACATCAAAACACACAAAAACATAAAGGTCCAACCTCCAAGGCTCCAATGGCTTCTCCAACCTCTTCCCACGGTCCTTCTATGGAGGTGACGATGGACGTCTCAAAAACCCTAAACCCAACTGCACCTCTCTTCTTTCCCAAAAACCATTTTCTGCATCACTATTACTTCTTCCCACCGCAGCTTCACTTCATCTCCAACACTAACCTCCCTCCTCCATCTTCAATCTTTGTGTATTATCCTTTATGGTATAATAATCCTAACCCTACTAGGTCTGAGTTTATAGAAGAACTGCCTCCACAAAACCCTAGTCAAGAGCTGTCTCGTCCACCGACCAGTAGAAAAAGGGGTTTGGACTGGAGTAGAAGCAGTGGACATCGTAAGAAGGTGATGTGGAGGAGGAGGGTCCAGTATCAAGCTGAATCCAGCGGCGGTTCCATCACCACTGTCATGCTTAGAAACATACCAAATAAATATACGTAAGTAAATATATAATGATGCGTATCACAGTCTATATCATTCATCAATTGTATAACTAGAACAAAGGTGTGAAATATTTTTTTGTTGTTGTTGCGGTGATGTTTTTGTTTTAGATAAATTGTTGCGGTGATGTTATGAACTTATGATGATAGATATCGAATCTTATTGTTACTGTATATGTAGGAGAGAGATGCTCATTGAGTTCTTGGATGAACATTGCGAAGCAGAAAATAACAAAGAGGAAAATGAAGAGGTTGTTGCCTATGATTTCTTATACCTTCCCATCGATTTCCAGTAAGTTTATTATTGTCGTTTTTATTACTATTAGTTAGTTTAATCTTTGATTAATATATTTGAAAACAACAACAAAAAAATTGATTTGTATACATACATATATACTTATATAGATGTAGCGTGTAGGCAAGAGGAATAACTTAATGATGATACAACTTTGGAAAGGATAATCGATTGATAATCTGCATGATGTATTAATTTAAATTTATTTGTTTTGCTGTGATATATATATATATATATAGTAATATAATAATGTCATAGACTGATAGCTTAGCCTTTTATCTCTTTCTTTTAAACTAACTTAAGGGCACCAAATTGAGCAGGAGTAAAATGAACAAAGGGTATGCATTTGTGAACTTTACAAAAACAGAAGCAGTGTCTAAGTTTAAGGCGGCGTGCAACAACAAGGCATGGTACCATTTCGGTTCGAAGAAAATACTTAAAATTGCCTTTGCTCGGATCCAGGTTAATTCTCTACTCATTCATCTACATATGTACTTACATATATTAATATTAAGCTTAACGTTTACATTTACATTCGTGTATGTAGGGGAAAGATATGCTGGTGAAACATTTCGAGCAGATGGCATATCCGGCTGAGGTATACAGTGCGGTCTGTTTCATCCCCGCTCGTAGCGGACCAAGGAACACGGGTCTCACTATCATGGTCGGTAAATGCGCCGAAGCTATGATTGAAGTCTAGAGGTTGTTTCACCTATCATGTTATATATATTTAGGATTAGTATTGTGTGGGTGTAATGGGGAGCATCAAACTATGAGTGATGGGTGTACTTAAAAAGGAAAAGGAAGGACTCAGACACTGAACCAAATCCAAGTAAAAACTCTGAAAAGTTTAGTTTTGGATTTGGTTTTTGATGTGTGTGAGTTTTGACTTTTCCTTTGCGTTTATGTCAAGTGTCTGCGTGTGCGTGTAATTAAAAAGAAAGAGAAAGGACTCAGACACCAAATCAAATCCAAGTAAAAACTTTGAAAAGTTTATTTTTGGATTTGGTTTTTGATGTGTGTGAGTTTTGACTTTTCCTTTGTGTTTATGTCAAGTGTAAAAAGAAAGGACTCAGACACTAAATCAAATCCAAGTAAAAACTTTGAAAAGTTTAGTTTTGGATTTGGTTTTGGATGTGTGTGAGTTTTGACTTTTCCTTTGTGTTTATGTTAAGGATAATTATCTGTTTCAGAAATTGGTTGAATTTGTGTACCATTCATCTCTTAACCTGGAAGGTACTGTGGCATGAGAACGATAGTTACATTTAACAAGAAAATTAAAGAAATCAAGAAATGACGATTATCAAAACTTCTATTTCTTTTGTCAAAGGCGAAATCATAAACTATTAGGACTTTTAGGACCACAAGGAACACGTTCAACTATTTCAAGTCGCGTTTTAGTTATAACACAACCAGAGAATGTTGCTTAGAAAGGTACCTTTTGTGAGGGATTTTCCAACGTTGTCAGTATTCATTTTTAAGTTGTTTGTACTGTATATCAAGGACATTAAAGATTTTGTAGAAAGATAAACTAATCTTTGACAAAATCTCTTTTGTTTATTGGAGAATGGACCAAGAAGTGACACTTTCGCCTTTTCTTTGTTCTCTTCTCTTTTTATAGTAGAAGACTAGCTATCAATTATGGCAAAAGTGACTGACCTCTTTTTCATTTACGAAACAAACATTCAAATGGTTTAGTAAAAATGATATTTAAATGCAGTTGATGCTTTGTCAGTCCATCCAAGAGATAGGGGAGACCTCTTAAATTACGTAATGCACAGCGAAGCTTTACTTCTTGTCAGCCCAGCCGTACGACCATAAAATCAAATCTTTGTAAGAAGAAAAACAATCATGACATTAGTTTTCATTTTATATGTAAACAGCCTAGTGATACACGTAAAAAGTTTCTTTGAATTTGTATTTATTTGTATCATATTTTTATATGTTTCCATCTTAAGTTTTGTAATAAGTACAAAACTCAGTAAAAATCTTATGAGATAATGGTAAACAAAATTTGTTGTGAAAAAAATAATATTGTGGCTTATGAGATAAATAGGTAATATTAGGCCTGGGCGTTCGGGTTATCGGTTCGGGTTCGGGTCGGGTTATTCGGATTTTCGGATTTTCGGACTTAGGCTAAAAGGTCCCATTCTAATATTTATTTAAAACGGGTCGATTGTGGGTAATATCACTTCGGATTTGGTTAAATATTGTATTGTATTGTAAAACCCGTAAAGTAATCAAATATCAAACGGGTTCGGATTTTATCGGTTCGGTTCGGAATATACTGAAGTGAAATACAAATTTTTGTAAGAAAAATTATAAAACATCATCCTTAAACTGAGAGTTAAATTCCATTAAAACAGAAAACAACATTCCTTAGCTTAATAAATCCAAAAACAAACCAGTAAACACGAAAGCTAAGTTAGCAAGTAGTTACATACGAGTTACTTGAGCCACCCATATGTCAGTAGTTAATGAAACCCTTTGCTTATTTGCTTTAAACCATTGCTTCATAGCAGCTTTCCTCTATAGATACATCTGTGACGTGTTTGAACGCAATGATAAGCTTCTTCAATCGCCAACATGGATCAATGTAATGAGAAGTCACAACCATGTAGCTTGCACCTGAGATCAAATCGAAGAAATCAAATAAAATTATCAAAATATTTGCTTATGGATCAAAGTAAACACAAAAGCTATGGAAACTAACTAGTCTAACTATTTTCTTATAAAAAAAACAAACCAGTAAACACAAAAGCTAAGTTAGCAAGTAGTTGCTTACGAGTTACTTGAGCCACCCATATGTCAGTAGTTAATGAAACCCTTTGCTTATTTGCTTTAAACCATTGCTTCATAGCATCTTTCCTCTGTAGATACATCTTGACAATGTCTCTTGCTGATATCCTTCTTGATACTGGTTTCCCTAGTTCCATCTGCAATTGTAATACGAAATTATAAAACGAAACATTAGATACCAAACTTAACTAAAGAATCATCTAATTAATATATAACTGACCTTGTTACAGAAGTGTTTCCAACCATCACCTTCAATGAAAGACAGTGGTAGCTCTGCTATCACCATCATCTCATTTGTTGCTTCTCTGAAAGTAGCATCACTTATCTTTCTAGACTTCAGCTGTCCTTCTTCATTGACGCCAGGCTGAGTAAAGCTTTGACCCTCCGAAAACAACATGAAGCGTTTGCATATGCTAAGATGCTTCATCAAGTTGGATGTGCCTGATCTTATAGGACAGCAGAACGTCTTGTTGCAGTAGTGACATATACATTTGTCACGATTCTCCTTCGTTCTTGTGAAATGGCCCCAAATCTTAGACCTTGTAGGAAGATACCTTAGCGCTTTTTGTGTCTGAAATGTTGCTCCACTAGCTTTAGGTGATTCTTTATGTTTGCCTCTACTGTCTGGAGTCACAACCTGTTTACTTTTGCCTCTACTGTCCGGAGTAGGAAACTCTGGTTCTTCATCAAACAATCATTAATGTTGTCAACGTTTGGGGTTGAAGATGAACCCATCTGAAATCGCAAAAAATAGCAACAAGTTACATTCCTAATCAATCACAATCTCAAAATACAAGTAAGAGTAACAAGTTTCATAACAGAGTTTCAATCTCATGTATAGATCATCACAACTAAAACGCAAAACAGAGACTCTAAACCGTGACTCATAACAGAGAGAGAAGAAAGATTTTGATTAACCTGTGATTGATTCTTCAAAATCGCAGATGGTGAAGAGAGTGTGAGGTCGAGACTAAACATCATAAGATTGATTAAATAGAAGATTAGAATAGAGAATTAGAGATCTAGAGAGTAGGAAGAAGAGGAATCGCTTCCTCTGTCGCCACTTCCTCTTTAGCCGTTTTGATTTTGGAAATCGTAAACAGTAACACGCATGTTCCCTAAACACACATAATCAATGTATTTTCGGTTATTTCGGGTTATACCGAACCGTACCAAACCCATAGTCCTATGTATCATAAAACCAATACCAATCGGGTTATCGGACTAAACTGAACCGAACCCAATGTTCGAAGTATCAGAAATTCAATACCGATCAGATTTTCTCAATTTTATTAAACCGAACCGATACATTTTTTTTGGGTCGGGTTCGGATTTCGGGTATTATGCCCATGCCTAGGTAATATAACTCTAATGATCTGATTGAACACAAAATAGCAATATTATTTATAGCTGAAAAACAGTTATTTCGGTACCAATGACTATAGCTCCAAGGCCTCGGAATATTCCAGTCAGGGTACAATATCTCTCCCTCCAATACCAACTCTAACCCAACTGCAAAATTATATTTTTGTGTGATTTTTACACTAAATTTTTTTCAATTCAATTGCAAAAATCACTCTGTTTATTGCAATACTAAAATTTCACTCCAAATTTGATGTGATACTATTCACAATAATAAAATACTATTCATCCTATTCAATACTATTCATATTATTTTATTAATAAGGTATATAATTAAATAAATAACAATTAAGAAAATAAATAATTATAAGATTATAAAAATGTTTTAGTGTAAAGTTTTAGTGTCATGGTTGGAGAATTTGTTTTTTTAATGTTGAAACTACACTAAAATATTGTATTTTTTGACACTAAAATTGTGTCTGGTTGAAAATACCTTAAATCTCTAACTATTGGTCTGACTGAAAACTCTTTTTAGTATTTTAGGGAGAATCTTTTTCCTCTCAGTACAACTTATGCACCAATGAGGTGAAACTATTTTTTTTTATCTCTTTTACTCCCATTATTTCCATCATTATTTCTGGAGGTATATATTATTAGAGGTATATATGGACTTTATTTCCATCATTGTTTTTGGAGTGAGAAATAAATTATGTTGAATTTTCATTTATTTTTATTGTTATTACTTTTTACTCTGATTTTTTCCTCCCATTTACTCCAATTAAGCTATTCTCATTTACTCTAAAATTTACCAATCACACTCATATTATTATCTGATTGGAAACTTTAACAGAGTAAATCAGAGTAAACAAGAGGAAAAATATAGTGGGAAGAATTAATTATCTAATATGTTACTCCAGCTTCTTAAGCATTATTCTAGAGTAAAAAGATAGTGGGAAATCAATGAAAATTGAACAAATATTTTTATTTCTAGCGCAACTGAGTGGAAACATTTTTTTAACCTTTTCATCCTGATTGGATAAACGTAAGTGGGATACAGAGAAAATGTTTACTCCAAGTTTTTATTACTCTATAACAATACCATCCAGTTATACTAAGTTTTTGGCCAATCGTCCTCATTCATATAATCATATGTAACTCGTGCACCAAAAGTTTCAATTTTGTTAGTTGGTCAGGATTCTTAGAACTGTGAAGGCCACTCTATTGTCAAGAAGCCGGAGATTTCCGCCAGACATGTAACATTAATGTATTCACAATTATTGCAAGTCAAAATCCCATTTGTATACTTAGTAAAGAAGAAGAGTTGCTCATAACATAAAATCTCTTAAGGTAAAACAGCCTTTGGTTTACAGTAAACAAGGCATAGCAATAAGCCTAATCAATAGTTATGTTTTGACTAAGCTAAGATTCTAAAAATCTCTCTCAGGTCACCTAATGCTTTGTAGAAGCAGCCACGGTTAAAGTCACAGCAACTTAACCAGACGACGCACTAAGGAATCGCTTTGAAACTTTAGAAGGTGAGTCTAATTTCTTCCCCAACCATTGCTAATATCTCATCCATCCTATAACAAATAGCAACAAAGGCTCATCAGAAGAGTGGAACTCGAGAATGACAGTGGTGTCAAACTGTAAAATATTTACCTATGAGTGTCAATGTTCACCTCTGCAAGCCATGTTGTCAAGTAAATCTGCATACCAAAAAAAATTCTGTAAGCTAATTTGAGCAGAAGCTTTTTCCTGTGTTAGAAGAAATCCATATTTACCTTCAAAATTTCCGAGGTAGGTTGGTTGGTATGCGATACAGAAGAGATGCCGAGATTATCTTCTCTCAGTGTTGGGAGAATTGGCTCACATACTTCCATGGAATATAAAGAACATTTGGAGAGATCATCAAACTCCCCATGGTAAAGCTCAGCTGACCAACTAAGCTTCACCGGTTGAGGAACTTCACAGCTTAAAGAGACCAGTTCCATTACGAGTAATCTCTGTTAACAGTGATGTAAATCAGAAGCTAACCGAGAGCCTAAAGATTTATATGTAGAATGACTTAGGAAGTAAATAACCCTACCTTTATCATCACTTCGCGTTTGAACATCTCCACAAGCTCCTCAGCCATCTTCTCTGTGATCAAAAGTACCAATCTTTAGAGACAACAACCAGAAAATAAGAGTAAAGTAATCAATCTTGATTTTTTTTTTGTTAAATGATCTTTACCAAATGCAGAGATATTCAAAAAGTTAAACACAGGGATACCACCACAATCTCCAGCATCATCAGAATCTTCCTTAGAGCCAGAGAACTGTATAATTGACCCGTTACTCGGCTTCATATAACACCTCAGAGATCTACTTACATTCACCATCTCCACAACAACATCTACCTGTATTTTACCACCACTAGATTTGTTCATACATTCCAAATTCACAAAAAATAATAGATAGTCAGTCATGTGCCACAAACTCACCATTTCCTTGTACGAAGATAGAAGCTTGATCCGATACAAACTCTGAAGTAAAAAACAGAGAGATATTGGTAAAAAAACGAATAGAGTGTAAAAAGTAACAAAACTTTTTAACCTGTTGTTTAGACAGTTTCTTCAAAGTCTTCTCCTTGATACCAACCATGTCACTCAACACACCAAACTTCATCGTTGGCACAAACCTATTTACCATAAAAACAAACACAAAAGTCAGTAAAGCTTTAATCTTTTTAATTCTAAAGTAAAGCAGGAAATAAAAAGTTAGTGTTTTTCCACACGTTTGGGAGAGATATGAATTAACGAGCGAAGTAGCCTGAGATTTTCCAGCGGAGCAAGCAGAGACCCATTTTTGCCGACAAGTTTGCAGCTTTGACCACTGGTTCCTTAGATTCCGCTGAGCAGCTGGTCTCCACAGCCTCATCGACGATGATAAGCTCGCCGGAGATGGAGATGAAGAAGGTAGCAATCGCGAAGAAGAAGAAGAAGAAGCTGGAGATGGAGAAGCAGGCGGAGGAAACTGTGAGATACTCATCGTAAGGGAGACGAAACGAGCTTCTTGAGCGGCGGTGCGATGGTACGATGGCGGCGGCGTAAAGACGCGGCGGCGAGAGCTTCTTTCTTAGGGATTATGAAGGAAAAAAACATAAAAGGTTATAACTGTAATTTACACTGAAGCGTTTTAAGATTAAATAAAAAAAATTAACTGGTGTAAAATAAAAGTTACCGTGCTGTAGTTATATTGATCGAAGTAGCAATTACAGTAGATCGTCAGGTTTTAACAGTAACGGCAAGTTTAGAGAGAGAAAGAAGAGAGAGAGAGAAAAGAGAGAATGTCTCACAGTCATGGGAACGCTTCGTCGGCGAACGATCCACGGCAGCCATCGGCGGCGAAACCTTACACTCCGCGGCCTATTGCGCCGGAGGATCTACCCGTTGACTACTCGGGATTCATCGCTGTTATCCTCGGCGTGTCGGGTGTTATGTTCAGGGTATAATAACACCAAATCTCATATGATCCTTCTTGCTCGCTATTAGATTCGTTGAAACTCTTGATTCGGTTGTCTTATGGTTCAGATTTGGTGAGCTAGGTCGTCCGATCCGATTTCATAGGGTTTAAGTCTCTGATTCATCAACAGCAATCTGCACTGTGATTGGATCTTAGTCTCGATTGAATCGATTTAGCTTAGTTTCCTCAATTTGGAAGATTCTAACTGTACAAATCTGTGATTGTATCATATTATAGACTTAGAGATAAGTTAGATCTTTTTTAAGATTTGAGCACAGTTCAAATGGATGGGAGATCATTTGTTTGTTGTTAGTCTAATGGATAAGTGATGGTTTTTTATTTATTTTTTGTTGTGTGTGTTCAGTACAAGATTTGCTCGTGGCTTGCGCTTATATTCTGTGCTCAGTCGCTGGCCAATATGAGGAACTTGGAGACTGATTTGAAGCAGATCTCCATGGCTATGATGTAATGTTCCCTTCTCACTCTTTTTCATTTTCTTTAGTTATAGTGAGCCAAAGATATTGCTCCTTAGGTTTAGCTCTTTGGGTGCAAAAGATGATTAGTCGTAGGGACTGTTTATAGATACTCTTCATAGTATGAGCCATGGTGACAATTGTTGTTGATGTTGACTCAAGGTTTTCTTGTATTTGAAACAGGTTTGCTGTAATGGGATTGGTCACAAACTACTTGGGGCCTAATAGACCTGCAGCCAAAAAATAAAACCTGAATTACTCTGCTTTCTTTATATAACATCTTTTATCAAACCTTGTTTGGTTCTTGTTTCCGCATCTTTTAAGTTATAAATTGCGCCATGGTGAGACACCAAGCCTAGTGTTTTTATTTTGGTGAAACTTTTGTGTTCGATTCTCATTATTTATATATCATAGGTGTTTTGAGTAACAAACTAGACCAGAGATCATGCTCGAGGTTTCACTGCAGAATCTGAACTCCAACTTTCTGTTTTTATATCTATGATGTATGATGTGAAAATGATTTGGAAAGTTGAATAAGATGTCAGACTTTGCTTGCAGAGGCAAACATTGACATTTAGGTAAATTAGAACCACCTTCTGAAACTCTGAAGCATAAGCTCGAATGCTGTCAATGAGCTCAGCTTCTGGCTAGCTGTCAATGACCACAAACATGGCTGATTCTGCAGAGTACGTAAACTATATAATATCGAACAGATAAAATACATGAAAATAAGACGAGTATTATTACCGAGTGAAGATGTTTGTACTGAGCACTTGTTCTTTACGAAATAATACACTTAGCTTACAATATTTGTCATGATGCATACGGTAATGTTACATGATTCGTAGAAAATCTCCAGCTTCTTAACAATGGAGAGGCATTCACTGTTCTAATGATTCCGACCAACTAACTCCTACACACACCCAAAAATATATGAACGGGTGTGGGGAAGAGAGATATGAAAGAAACGATGGGGAAGATTGGCCAAAAACTAAAATTATTTGGAACTCATCAATCGTTAGTTAGAGGGAGAGACATTGTACCCTGTTACGAGGCATTGGAGCTATGGTAACATATCTTTGTGAGTTTAACCAAACTGGACTTGCAAGGAATAACCAACCCCATGCTCATGAGGTCAAGCCAGCCAAACTTAAGTACATATATTCAAATAAGTTGGACTCGGTTACGTGGAAGAGCAAATTGTTTTATACCGTGCAAAGTTAGTCTCTAGTTTCAATGTTATATTAATGAAATCTTCCGCAGCTCTGGAGATGAACTGGTCACTGATTTTTTCAGTTTTCCTTTTCTCAGACAACCTACACAAGAGTGTATAGGTTCGTATCAATACACAGCCTCAAGGTCAAGAAAATCTCCAGCATTTTTCAGAAACAGAATATACTCTTACGGATCTGAATTGTTCGGAGACAGAAAGTGATCACTCCTGTCGCTACATGCATCTCCTAGTGCAGCTCTTGCAGCAGTATATGCAACAAACTCATAATTTGAGCTAGCAAGCAACAATACCACCCTAGCAGAAGGGGGACTAAATAGTTGTTGCACGAGTTGTGTTACATATATAAGCCTTCTCTTTGATCTGAGTGGTGGGCCATCCTCAAGGAAATTCCCAATTTCCACCTGTGATAACACAAGCAATCAACGTATTCAACAACATTGGATAAAGAGAGACAGACGAGAAAGCATGTAATCAGGAAACTCACCTTTTCAGTGAATCGACTAGTTGCTCTGGCCCAATCAACCTCAGCCTCATTGTAAAGAGTATAGAAGATTAATACGGTAATCCATATGAGAAATAAAAAGGAATATTAGTGCTCATAAACCACACACCTGAGAGTCTTAAGCCTCTGGGAACCATGCATGACTTGTTTATTCCAAGATAAAAGTCCTGATGTGGCGGTTTTGCGCTTCTTTGGTTTATCAACCTTCAGAAGTTTGTCAGTTGCACCATTAGGTAGTGACTCAGATGAGGGAGTCTCCCCTCCTAATGCAGAGCCTGACATTTGTAGCATACTAAACTGCTTCGGAGATTGAATATGATGTGAGCCATCAGCCGAACTCCCAACATTAGAAGATTTTTCTTCTCTTCAACATGTGATTCGTGGAGTCCTTTTGATTTAATCCATTTCTAGGTAAACCATCAGATCAAGGTGATGGTTGCTCCCCTTTGGAAGCTACCTTTTGAAGATGAACAGCACTATCCTCAACTCTCTTCACAGCAATCTTGGGCGCGTCACTCTCCCCACTTCCAGCCATATGCTCATCTTGACGCAAGTTTTCCTTGGGAAAGTTATTTGAAGGAACATAACGACCGACGGTTTGATGATTGCTTTGCACCATTTTGGAGAACATTGAAGCAGCATCAGATGTTTGTTTTGCACCCATATCTTGACCCTGTAACTCAAGCGTATTCACCATGTCCCTCCCATTTAACGACACGTCTCCTCCATTTTGGGAGGATAATTGATTTGTCTTCTCCTGCCTTGAAAAGCTCCCTTCTACGTTGTTGCTGGACAATGGATGTGGCTGCAAACTATCTGGCCGAGGCTTAGATGGCTGGTTCCAAAACTGCACGTTATCAGGAGAGGAAGCTAGTTGAGATGGAGGTGCCAGCTGTAGACTAAACCCCTGAGAACCAGATGACTGACTATTCTGAAATTGACCAACATTTTGTGCCGACCGTGTTGCTTCAGGAATCCTAGAAACATTTGTTTCCACCGAATGCCCCTGTGACTGGTCAACCTTGTGAAGAAGCTCAGGCCTGCAGAGGTAAAGTTTTCAGGGAGACAATAACAACGCACAAACTGCAAGCAATTTTATTAGGGAACACGTGCCACTTGATGCCACAATCAGAAATTACAACTTCACGAAATTAATGAGAACATTGAGTTTAAGTTGAATACTTAGGCAGGTCTGTCAGTTGCTTGACAAACTATCAATAAAATGGTCACACTAACTACATATTGCAAAGGTGTTCAACGAGTGAATAGTTTAAGCAAAACATAATCAAGAAAACCTTTTCAACCCAAATAATAAGTACCTTGACGAAGCACTCTTCACTTGATTGTCAGTTGAAGCAGAATGCACTAGGTGAATTTTCTGAACCCATGCCTTTAAAAGCCTCATTTGTGCAATTCAATTCGTTTTGTGAAACATGACCCTACCATAACGAAGCCGAAAAAATGTTAGGTAGTAAGATTTCTAAACCACCGCATAATCCAAAGCTGGACAAAGTTTACCTTATCATTGCGAATATCCATAGCTGGCTGACCAAGAGTCTTTGAACGCCCAAAATGAGAAAAAAAATTCTCGACCAGGTTCATCAGTGACATCTATATTACCCATTGGATGATACTGAAATTTTCGAGGCATGGACGGCCTAACACCAACATGACCAGATTGTGTTTCTTTTCCACCAGGTACCATAGACACATTACGAGCTTTTAGTATTTCATTTGATCCAGCATTATTATTCGCATGTGACTCAAGAATCTGACTGCCGTCTCTAGATTTCAGTTGAGGAGTAGCATTCTCCACAGAGTTAGTACCCAGCCGCTGTTGGATGTTTCCCTGGACATCCGTAGAAACGTTAGAGACATTTCCAGCACCAGCAATGCTAAAACCGTAGCTTTCCCTTTGCATTTGTAGATTTTGTGTGTAATTATTATGGGACTGTTGTTCCTCTTGCGAGCATCATCTTGCTGGAAACTTTCCGAACTGGACCTATTATTTGAACCTGGAACTGATGTATGGGAGAACAACACTTTCTCCTGGTAGGTGGGTCTAGGGAGCATATGACTATCCTTAACATCACCTTGACTCAGATATGAAGTTGGCTGACTGGTGAGCGAAAAATTCGTGTTTGCAGAACCATGCTGTGAAGCTAAACTATTCATCTGAACAGAAGAAAAGGAAGTTTGAGATGCATTTGCCTCACCAAGAGGCATACCATACAAGGAAGGCTCAAACTGTTGGGCGAGTAAGTTCGACTGCCCATGCTCAGGAGTAATCATGAACCCACTGGAAGAACCTTGATGCATCCAGTTTGTATTTCCTGTCATACGATTAGGCTGCCAACAATTACTAGACGCATTCTGAAGAGGGACGCATAAATCAAAGGATATGATTGATTATCACTTGAGCGAGCAAGTTTACAGCATCTGAATTCAAAGAATTGAGCTGCCTGGCCCCTAGCTGTTGCGGGGTTTAATAATCATGCATTTGCTTAGCCATAACTTGCTGCTTTAGTAGTTGCATATCATCCAACGTCATCTGCTGCCTAGGAAAAGGCTGGAGCATGACAGGGAGCTGGCTGTTCAATTGTTGTTGACCACCAGAGAAATCATAATTAACAGGAGATTCTCCCATCTCAAACGTCATAGGACTTTATGAATGTCTGGAGTAAATCCTCTCACTGACGACTTATCCCTACTTGATTCTGCATCCACTCCCAAAACATTTGTCTGCCCATTCATGTAACCATTTGTGGGTCTTATAGGCTGCTGAGTCAAATTCATCCCCTTTGATCTAAAACAACATTTGTTTCTGTGAACAAGAAACAAAAGCGCGTCAAATGAAAACCTTGGGGCGATATTCTAAACCCTGATTTGAAACTCAGAACAGGAAGCAATAGACATTAAACTCAGAGAATCAATGTGATACGCCCTCAGGTTACAACCAAACCTGAATCAGCATTGTTCATATACCGGCGAAGCGGAATCCTAACTTCTAAGCACAAAACTATAACACACTCAGTGTGTCACTAATCCAGTAAACTTGCAGTAAATGTCGTTAAAGATTCCTACACAAAAACCACTGTTACTCGCTTCACCGCTATAAACCCTTTCACTAGCAGATAAATTCATGAAAATATAGGAAATCACGCGAGATCAAAGCTGCCGCAACATAAAGGTTAGACTGGAGTGGGCATAGTGTAAGTTGCAAACGGCACCGTAATGTTGCGTTTTCGAACTAGTGCACTAATGAAAGATTGTGATCTAGTGTCATCATCATCATTAGTCTTCAACTCAACCTAAACATCTCATTACTCATTAGTTTGACATAGTTTTTATTTACATGCTGATGTGAATGAAGATAGTCATTAAAGTAACAGATATAACGCAATTTAGAAGTGTTTATGAATGAAAATAAATTCTTTAGTAACTGAAAAAAAGAAACAAATCTTCAACTGAGATATATTTGTATAACATTGGTGGAATCAGAAACTAAACCATCAATTCTATAGAGAGAAGAGACACTCGAGGAACAAAAAAATTGAGAAAGTGAATAACAAAGACATGATCCTCCATTGTTACTTATCAGGTGATTTCTTCAGATTGCCATGAGATCACCAAAGCTACGCATGAGGAAGATTCCTCCTGCAAACACCCCAAGTGCTCTCACAAGTTTCTGCATCAACAAATTAAACACAAAAGGGCTTCGTGTTAGAGTGAGAGAGGTTCATCAGATGGTAAGAATAAATACATCAGATTTTTTATGTAAACAACAAAGTCAAGCATCACAAGAACAAGAAAAACCATAAAAAGGCAGGGACTGGTCATTGATAAAACCCTATATCCCAACAAAATTCAATTGAAGGAATAAGATAAATCACATGATCTATTCACAACCACAAGACATTACAAGAGAATCAATTCCGAAGCTCAACTCAAATCAAATCAAACGAAACATAGACAGACTCATAGAGAGAAAAGCAAAGAGACTTTACCATGTTAGCTGCCCACTTCTGTTCATTGTGAACCTCAGAGTGCCACAAAGCTTTTAGCTGGTCCATTGAGATAACACTCTTCACCATCGTTGCCTGCTCAACTTTGACCGTCGGGAGCTACTCGGTTGCTTCAAAAACATCAACTAAACCCTTTAAGGGTTTAGGGTCTTTTGAAATTACGAAACTAACCCCGATACACCCTAAGCCTCGGTTTACTCTCCTTCTTGGACCGGTTTTCTATCTACTTGGTTCCTGAAGTTTTTACTCTTAGGAACTGGTGGTTCAGCTCTCTCTGTTCTTGGCCCTGCTGCTTCTGGTTCTCCAATTTGCAGAAATCTAATTAGACCGGTCTATACATGAAACTTGGTTTGTGGTTTGTGCTTTCATTGGTTGAAAAACCACATTGGGCCTATTTTCAGCTCACTAATCTACTTGGTTCCTGAAGTTTTTTCTTTTGTGCACTGAACTTGGTTCCTGAAGTTTACACTTGTGAACTGGTGGTTCAGCTCTCTGTTCTTGCTTGGCAGCTTCTGGTTTTGTCTCCAATTAGCAGAAATCTGATTAGACCGGTCTTTACATGTAACTTTGTACTTTCATTGGTTCGATTGGATTGGAACACCATATTGGGCCTTTTTCAGCCCACTAATCTTAATATAAACGAGCCCGCTCCAGGCCCACGGCATCTTTTCGTGTTTTTTTTCCAAATCTGAACTAAACCGGTCGGTTAATAGTAAACCAATAAAGTATTTTACAATCAAAACTACTCAAACCAGTATCTGGTTCTCCCCTCTCATCATCATCAATGGTGAAATCAGCCGCGACGGCGACATCCTCCCTCGTGCAAAACCTAAGGCGTTACATCAAAAAACCATGGGAGCTCACCGGACCCTGCGCTCATCCAGAATACCTCGAATCCGTACCGAAGGCGACTGAGTATCGTATCAGATGCCCCGCCACGATTGACGAAGAGGCGATCGTGCCGACTTCCGATCCCGAGACGGTCTACAACATCGTATACCACGGAAGAGATCAGCGGCGTAACCGTCCGCCGATCCGGCGTTTTCTGTTGAAGAAGGAAGACGTGGCGGCTCAGATGATGAGTGAGAAGAAGACGTTCGAGGAGACGGAGTTTCCTAGGGTTTATTTGACAACGACGGTGGAGGAGGATGAGAACGCGCGTGGCGGAGGTTACGAGTAATGATCAGGTGAGGAGGAGTTTCGATTTCTGTCGTTTGGTATGAGATTTGGTATTCGTTTGATCATTGTATGGTTTAGGATTGGAGTTTGTTGAGTATATAGAGATGGTTTTGTTATCTAATTTTAAGCATTACTGTTTAGATTATTTAGATTTGTTGGAATTGATTTAACTTTCTTGCTTGGCAAATGAATGTTTGATTTGCATAAAGTTTTTTTTTCCTAGAGTTAGCTTTGTGTTATATGGCTAAAATTAAAATGTATCATTAGCTGCCTTCTCGTTTGATTTATTAAGTTGTACATTTTTTCACCAACTTTGTTCTCAATGACATTTCAATTGCGAATTAGTGGGTGAACATTTCTTTTTATTATTGGGGGGGATTTTGGTGGAAGCTGCTGAATTTGATTGCTGAGCTATTGTTTTCAGCTGAACCTTATGATCCAGAATCGACTAAACTATTATGAGATTATTTCAATAGTATCAAAGTTTTAATTAGAACCAAGGTAAACTCGGGAGTGTGGTAAGCTTTATCTCTGTGAAGTAATGATTGAGTAGTTGAGAAAGAAGACGATGACATCTGCGAGGAGATGTTTGGACTTTTTTTTTGTCTTGTGCAATTAGCTCGGAATAGATTTTAGAGGTCGATCTAGGTTGCAAATGATGGTTTCTGATGATCTAGTGCATACGTTATGGTTGTTGTAGAGTTTTATCTACTAAGTCTGACTTTTAATTGTTCTTGGCTAGTTGAAAGCTCGTGATGCTCAGTTAGTTTAGTTGCGACAATTCAGAGTAAGTTTGGAATTGTGAGTAACCTGTTGAAATTATCTTTCTAGCTGTTGAACAGTTAGATCATGTCTCTGTTTGTGCTTTTAACCTACGGTTTGATTCTGCCGCAACAGTGTCGTAATTCAAATATTCAATGATTGGTAATCAATCACCTTGTACAAGAAGATCATCATGACCACAAAACCCCATCCAAATGGTTTCCATTTGTCAAAGACTATAATATATTTTTCTTTTCTTTGTAGGGTTTTTTTTTCTAGTCTGTCTCTCTGCTCTAACCTGCTGATGGGCGAAGAACTGCATATGTGATATATCTCCCTGTGGATAAAATATTATCCCTTCTTTGCTTTATTTAATAAGGTTTGTAGTAGATTTATGTACTACAAAACACTATTTTTCCTTCACAAGAATCAAATTGTTGTTCAGTCATATCTATGTTTACGTTCTATAATGAATTCATTAGCATTTCAAGTCTGTAGCTTTATAAGAAATGGTTGATTATATATAACACAGAGGGAAACAGGTAGTAACATGTGTGTTCTTGAGTAGGGTCCCTTTTTCTAATTCATCAGCGATAGGGAAAAAAAAGAGATTGTGAAAAGCCACCAAACTCATTGTCTCCATCAATGCATGTTTGTGTGTGTGTTTTAAGTCTTAACCGGATCGAAACGAAGGGCTTTTGTGGTCTTGTGTGGTCTGTGCGTCGACGACTGAATTAGTGATGAGAATACTCAGATCTAGTGTTGGCCTCACCGTCATGTGGAATCGACTCTGTTGACCGCAGGTTGGTGTCACTGGCGACGACCACGCCGAGAGCTCCGAGTGAAATCTAGTTTACTGCTTACACGTTAAAAAGGGCATCAGAAATATTGAACTAGGAACAAAACTTAATATATAACTAGGTGATTTTCCGTGCATGATAATATATTTTTATCATGCACGTTATTATCATATAAATATTTTTAAAGTAAACTAGATTTTGACCCGCGCAACCGCGCGGGTGTTTCTTTTTGTTTATATTACATGAACATTTTGTTTTCACTAAATTGGTATATATTATAGTAATCCCATATTTACGATATGTATAGTAAATATTTTTCAAACATAATAATATTATATAATAAGCGTTTTAATCAAATAGATTGTTTCAAATTTTCTATATTATACATGTTTTTCAAAGATGTGTTTGTTTCTTCTTCTATATTTTATTGTTTGTTAGATTAGTATTTCATTTTTAGATAAAGTAATATAAATATAGCTTGATTAAATATTAGTGTAATTTAATTTGCAAAGATAATATAAAATTCGAAGAAAGTTTTGCTAAAAACTAAACTTATAGCTTCATAAATTAATATTATAAAGAATTTTATTAAAAAGGAATTTTTTAAACAATTTTTTTTTAAAAACAATATAATTTTAAAAATTTACATCAAAATAAATTTATCTAATATATATAGCGTGTAAATTTTGTTAGGGTATATAAATATTCCATATTACTAATCTGTGATTTTTGTTAATATATTATGGATGCATTTAACTATTATTGACATATTTCCTTATAAATAATAGAAGATTCCTAAACTTATATCTTTTGACATTTTTTTGCGTGAATAAGTTGGAAGGTGTGAGGTAATTTACCAAAATCAAATTGTTAAACGTATTATAAAATATAATAATGATAAGATTCTTAGAGAGTTAATATAACATAACTTTCTAGTAATAGTTCATTTTTAAAAAAATCACACATGAAATCAAGTCATGACTTCTGTTTTAATATATAAGATATATCATAATAATTGATTACTATTTAGTTTAATTTTCAATTAATTTATAATTTGTATGTATCATTTATATTAATAACTAGGTAATTTTCCCGTGCTCATGCACGGACATAAATATTTATAAAATAAATATATTATAATAATGGACTGATATTTACTTTAAATTTTAAATTAATTTAGAATTTTTAGGTATAATTTATATTAATAATATTATATTAATTTAATTATATGTATAAATTTAGATATGTTATATTTTGTCAGTTTTATTATTTTTACGGTTGATTTAGTTATCATTTGGATATATTAGATTCTATCTATTTCTTTGAATTCAACTATAATCTTTATTATCCTAAATATATTAAATTTTTGATTAATTGTCTTATTTGCATTTATGCCTGTTGTTATCTTTGAAATATAAGTATATCTAGTAAGATTATGTATAACTTAGGATTTTTGTGCTTAGAAATAAAAAAAAATAAAAACTAAACTGTCTGATTCTAAATTACATACATAAGTAACTAATACATTTTTGGAAGCTTATGAACACATATCAATATTTACAATATTTGGATTGATTGGATGAAAAACTGAAATTTATTTTAAATAATTTTAAAATAAGGATTCTGATTTGCTTAAGTATTTTGATTATGGTTATATTAAGCTCCAGAAACATAAAAACAGAAATTAAAAATCAAAAAGTTATTAAGAAAACATATAATTTTAACAATTAAAATATATTATATCTACTTCGTTAAATTATATAGTGTTATGATATTTTAAAATAATTGTAGTTATTTAATCAAAAAATGTTTATTATTAAAATTTATTTTTAGTTTTGATTTTAATATCTGTTAAAATATGCAGTAAATTTTTTTATTGTTTTTGAGAAATTATATTAAGTAAAATATAATTTATATGTTTTGTTGTATTGTGAGATATTATAGTCAAATAAATATACTAAAAATAATATATATATATATATATATATATATATATATATATTTCAAGAATACAAATTATTTAAAAAAATCAATTAAACATATATCAATTTATGTTACTTAATTATTTTATGTAATCATCTAATAAAATAGATAGATATATACCAAAAAACAATTACTTTGAATATAATATAATATATATATATATATATATATATTATTGTTTGAAATATTTTTTTAAATAAAAAATATTTCTTTTTCTAATATCAAGATTAGTTGTGTGAAATTTTTTTATGGAATCACACTATATACAAATATTGTTTTTCATCTAAGAAGATATAGATATGAAGTATTTTATTACTTCAAAAGTATATTTTATGTTATTTAAAATATATTTAAATTAAATATTACAATTTTGTGAACTTTACTTTTTTATGAAACCATATTACTATATACTTATATTTTCGTTTTAAATAGTTTTGTAAACTTTATAAATTTTTCCTTTTTATTTTATATTGTTATTAGGAAAATTTTGAAAAGGAAATAATAATATTTAAATGTATTTTTTTAATTCATTAGGGGTATCATAGTAATCAACCATCGTGAAAGTTAACGTGAGCGCGACACATAAGAAAGTGACTTCTCAAATAATATTATAGAGATATTATATTACTTTAACTATACTTTAATTTTATATATGTTATATCTAGTCGATTTTGTTGTTTTTACGGTTGATTTAGTTATCATTTGGATAAATTGGATTGCATCTCTGAATTCACCTGTAATATTTTAAAATATATTAATTTTTTATTAATTACATATTTGCATATAGTGGGTGTTGTCTTAGATATGTAAATATATTTTAGTAAAATTATGTATAACTTAAGATATATTGTGCTTAGAATGAATTAAAAATTAACTAAAGTGTCTGATTCCAAAATACGTAAATTAATATAAAGATATAATATTCTAAAGTCCCATGCATATATATAAATTTTACAAAAGAACTAAAATTGTAAAAGTTGGTTAATATTTATTATCATTTATTAATATGTTTTGTGTTATTCTATGATCAATAAAAGGCTACATGCATAAGTAGTTGATATATTTTTGGAACCTCATAAACACATATCAATATTTACAATAATTAAAATATTTATAAATTCTAACTTTATGTTTTAGATTTATTGAATGTAAACTGAAATTTATTTTAAATAATCTTAAAATTGGAAATTCAGATTTGCTTTGGTATTTTGATTATGGTTATATTTAGTTTCACAAACATGAAAATTTAAAATTTAAAATAAAATTGAATATTAAGAAAAAATAATTTTAATAATGATAAAAATTATTTGATCAAGCGATGTTTATTGTTAAATTTATTTTTTATTTTTAATATCTCTTAAAAATAAGCACTACATAAAATTATGATTGTATTTGAAATAATATTATATAAGTAAAATATAATTTATAGATAATTTTCTGTAGTTGAAAGATATTATAGTCAACTAAATGTATGAAAAATAAATAAAAAATTCAATAATACTAATTATAAAATATTTTTATTACTCTAACAGTATATTTTATGTTATTTAAAAATATGTTTAAATATATTATTACTATTTTGTGAACTTTCTTTTTTTATGAAATCATACTATATATACATATATTTTTCGTTTTCAATTTGTTTTTATGACATTTTAAATGTATTATTACTATTTTGTGAACTTTCCTTTTTTTATGAAATATATTATATATACATATATATTTTACCTTTTCAATTTTTTATGACTTTATAAAAGATTTTCTTTTTATTACATATATTTTTGGAAATTTTTGAAAAGAAAACTAAATAAAAGAATTAATAATACTATTTTAACTATTTTTAATTCATTAAGGGTATCAATGTAATCAACCATCGTGAGAGTGAACGTGAGAGCGACACATAGGAAACTGACTTCTCAAATAATATTATAGAGATTGGTGATGATTGGTTCGAAAATTTAGCAGTTGTAGATTCTTTTTGTAGATACTTTTGCTGTAATTAAATTTGTTAATATCAAAGTTTACTATTATATAAAATGTGACTAGGTGATTTTCCCGTGCTCATGCACGGACATAAATATTTAAAATAAATATATTATAATAATTGATTGATATTTAATTCAAATTTAAAATTAATTTATAATTTGTAGATATAATTTATATTAATAATATTATATTAATTTAATTATATATAATTTTAGATATGTTATATTTCGACAGTTTTATTGTTTTTACGGTTGATTTAGTTATCATTGAGATATATAGATTCTATCTATTTCTCTAAATTCAACTATAATCTTTTTTATTCTAAATATATTAAATTTTTGATTAATTGTCTTATTTGCATTTGTGCCGGTAGTTATCTTAGAAATATAAGTATATCCTGATTCTAAATTACATACTTAAGTAACTTATAAATTTTTGCAAGCTAATGAACATATATCAATATTTACAATATTTAGACTGGTTAGATGAGAAACTGAAATTTATTTTAAATAATTTTAAAAATAAGGATTCTGATTTGTTTAAGTATTTTGATTATGATTATATTAAGTTCCACAAACATAAAAACAGTAAATTAAAAATCAAAAGAATTATTAAGAAAACAAATAATTTTAACTATTA